GCACTGGTTTCCGTTGTTACAAGGTGGAACACGGTATCATCTAATAATTGCCGGATGCAAGTAATTGCTTTCCGGTTTAACTTCTTCCAATCATCATAAGTGATCATTTCCGGCTTCTTCTCTTTTCCCTCAATTGGCAAATAGAGGTCTTTTGAATAGATAAGGTATTCTATCTTAGTCTTCCAAATTGACCAATTACCCCCATTCAAACTAATCATCTGTGTAGAGGTATTTACATCCATCTTTGATTGACAAACGAATAAAAACAAACATTTGATGTGCAAATGCCCTGATACCAGTTGTTGGGAAGCAATACTCTTCCATTCTATGTATGAATCAAAAGTAAAAACATCACCACAATGTATGTTTTACAAATACTGAAAATGGACAATTTGCTAAGTGCCAAAAAAATAGAAATCACTAATCACAAAAATAAAAGTTCCACCAAGCACAATTACAACATAAGGTTTAACGTGGAAAACCCTTCAATGTGAAGGGAAAAACCACGCGGCAAATCTGAGATAAGAATCCACTAAAATTAAATGAGGGTTACAATATAGTTTCTTCTCAAGTTTTTTGCCCAAAACTTGAGGCTTACAATCAAATAAGATAACAACAATAACTTGGAGAAGATACAAAGCTACCTCACAAGCGTCAACAAGGTCATCTCTTTTCCACCTCAAAAAGCCCCAAAAAAATGGTCTCCTAATGACTTGGATATGCAACTGTTCCGATTTTTCAGCTGAGTGTTGAGCGTGAGAGATAGGAAAAATAGCCTCTGGAATGGTCTAAAATGGTGATAGAAACCTTGCTACAAACGTGCACTTTCTTTTCTCCAAGAGTCTTCAAAGAACCCTATCTTTGTTTGCAAATGCTGTCTCCCAAAAAAAAAACCCTTTTGTTTTGGTCTTTTAAAACACCCTCTATGTTCTCTCTCTAAAAACCTCCCTCTCTCTCTCTAACCATTTTTTTTGTTGGGGTTTTTTTCTTTCTTTCTTTCACTTCTTATGAAGCTGGACCCCACAAGATAATCACCCCAACACCCGACCTAAAAAACAAATAATCAAATCGATGTGCTTGAAAAAAAATAGGGAAAGGTTTCTGTACTTCCCCTACCGCATAGAAGATATTCCCCTACCATCCAGATATCCAATTTTGATCAAGTGAGCCACTCATTGTTTGATCTTAGATCACCTCAGAGTATTTTATTTCTAATTTTTTTATATAAATTGTATAAATATGAAATTTGGTATGTGCTATCCTCTCATTGAGTCGTGCCTACAAATAATATTTAAAATAATTTTTTAATAAAATATAATGACCAAATGCCCCTTATTTTATTTTATTGGGAATATTTTTTACAAGTGCGAATTTAATAGAGGATTGGACGACCAAAATTTGGCACCAAAATATTTTATATAAAAAAAATTAAAAATAAAACAATGTAGAGACAAAATTGTGAGCTTGCCCAAAAAAATAACATCCGAAGATCCTCTTCTTTTGTTATGAAAAAAGAAATTTATTTTTGTTGCAAAAAAATAAATTTCAACTCTATATAAGAGTTGAAATACTTAAAAGGTGCGATTTGTATAGAGCCGAGGCTCTAAACCATTTAAATAAAAATAAACAAAAAAATAATTTTTTTGGGGGGGTGTTGAGATCTAAGAGTTGAAATCCTTAAATGGTGCAATTTGTATAGAGTCGAGGCTCTAAACAATCTAAGTAAAAATAAAACAGTGTAGATACATAAGAATGTGATGTTGCCCAAAAAAATAACAACCCAAGATTAAACAGAGATCCTCTTTTTTTGTATTGAAAAAATAATTTTTTTTAGGGATGAGGTGGGGATCTAAGAGTTGAAATATTTAATCGGTGAGATTTGTATATAGCCGAGGCTCTAAATAATCAAAGTAAAAAGCACCTTGAAATAGTGTCGAGAAATATGGTTTCAATACTGGAAATCTTTGTGATAACCTTAAAATATATTTTCATCTTTAATTATAAAATTTAAATCTTTAAAAATAGTGTAGATCGAGTAGAACTATAAAAACTTGAAAATTTTGAAAATTGATGGTCCAAAAATGTGTTACAAGATGCACTAATTCCCAAACTTGAAATCCATTTTTTTCTCATGTCCATTCATATTGAGGATATTTGGGCATCAAAACAACCTCTTCTAGTGAAATTTTTTAGGTATGCTCTAATTTGATTGTTTAGAGCCTCAGCTTTATATAAACTTTTTCCATACTTAAATCTGGCCTCGGCTCTATATAAACTTTTTCCCATACTTAAATCCCATATTTCTAGTTGTGAAAATAATCCTCAAGTGAATAGTAGGTGTATCCCAAAGTTTCGGTCAAAAATAGAAAAAACTCTTTCGCCTAAGAGAGTTAAGTGTACAATATGCTTTAGTCAAAGCATTACAAGTGTTGCTCTTCATCGTAAATATAGAGGAATAGAATTTAGCAATGATTCGGGCCTAGGCTGGGCCAGCCCTAGTCTCTATAAGGCTGGGTAAAGCTCCGATCCGACCTAGGCCCGGCCCTGCATTGACCTAGGCCGGCCCCCGTGTCACATTTTGTGCCCAAACCCTCGATTTTCAGGACCAGGACAACTCGGCCGTTGCTGGCCCTAATTTTGTCATTGCAAAAGGCCAAGAGAGACCTCATTGAGGAGTGTGTAAGAGACCAAGTTGGTGATCTAGCTGATCCCAAATGGTCAGAGTGGGACATTCAACCACGGATTTGTGTTTTGAAACACTGGAAATCAATGAATATTAGGTTCATGTTTGATTCCATTATAGAAGCACAATCTTTATTTTGCTCTTTGTTTTAATTAGTTTCTTTTAGAGGCACCATTATTTTTACTTTCCCTCTTATTTCTTTTATGGAATTTCTTTTATAGAAAAGTATAAAAAGAGACCATTTTTCTTTTATTCTCACCTCATTAGTTAATTTTCACTCAATATAGGGAGTTTTCGATATCAACTTATCTAAGCCATTTAATTTGACATTTAATAAGTGAGAAAGATTGTGACCTCCATGTACAAAAGATAAATGATCTCTTTGTAAACGATCCCTATTTAAAATAGATTCTTGTCAGCGAACCATTTTCTCAAAGCAAACTATATAAAATTTGCAATTCGAGAAAAAGTTTGAAGTAGCAAAACCTAACTTTTCTAAAATAGATAAAAATTTCGAAGAAAATGGGTATACCTGGCCAACTCAAAATGCCAGGTACGGAAGTTGGGGTGTTAATGGGCCAGGTTGACAGGTTCTAGCTAGATCCAGACCAAATATGGGTCACGTAGACTCATATTGGGTCCAAATCATTGGACCTGGGTCTAGGCCTAGAAATATTGGTAGGGTTGATCTTGGCCCGGACCCGACCTAATAAAGTCTAAGACGAATCCAAACCAAGATCTAGACCCAATTAGTTTACTATATTGTATTATATTATATATTATAATATTATATATGTATATTATTAATATATTACTATTTTTAAAAAATATATATTTATCCTAATACATAATAAAATATAATAAATATTTTATCATAAAATATATAATATATTTAAATACCTTAATAATATTTAAATAGTATTTAAATAAGTATAACTATGTAAATAAATATAATTATATAGTTTATATATTTGTATTTATATATGTTATATCATATTTATCTTATATTATAATATAATATATTTTATTCATATAGTAGATATTTATAATATATATTATATTTTTTATAAATGATATTGAAATAATATTTAATATATAATTTATAATATTTAAATACTATTTAAATATGGGTGTGGTTAGTATAGAGCCAAATTAGAGCCCACCTTCAATTAGTGTCAAGAAAAGTGGTCTCAATACTGAAAATCTTTGTGATAACCTTAAAATATATTATTAACTTTAATTATAAAATTTAAAGTGCCAAAATAGTGTAGATCGAGCATATCTATAAAAAATTGAAAATTGGAAGGTCTAAAAATGCATTACAAGATGTAATATTTTGAAAACTTGAAATCCATTTTTTTCTCATGTCCATGCATTTTTATGTAGAGATGATCAATTTGATGATAGTTGGGCATCAAAAAACCTCTTCTAGTAAAATTTTTGAGCTGGGCTATAATTTGATTGTTTAGAGCCTCAGCTCTATATAAACTTTTCCCTTTAAATATATATAACTATATGTTTTTAATTATATTAAATAATACACGTACATATTTATAAAAAATGAGAAATGATCCTATAGGACCCTCCCCTACCTAGGTGTGTAGGATCCCAAAGGATCAACATTAAATTTGACACAAATCTATAAAAAAGTCAAGATTTTTTTAGAGCTCCGTACCAACTTTAATGCTGATCCTTTAGGGTCCTACACTGAAAGTCCTATAGGATCATTACTCTTATAAAATATATTTAAATCAAGTCACTAAACAAGTTACCACACATATAAAATTATTACACAATGCTTTTTAAACATGTTAACAAATATGGAGAAAATAAAATTTGCAAAAGTCTTTTCGCCAAAATGTTTACATTATGTAAATATTTTTCGAGGAGATATTTACATACCAACCAAACACACTTTATAAATTACACTCTCTATACACTAGAACAAATAATGTTCCAAAATAAAGAGCGTGAGATCTTTATAAAAAGGCGATTCAATTTCTTTTATTTGAAATAATTGATTCTTAGGGAGATCACAAATTTCATATTAAAAAGATCCCCCCACCAGAACCAACGGACGGAGTAGTAGGATCATCGCATACGTGAAGTAACATGTGCAATCCTTCTTTATTTCATTATTTTTACGTTTGAAACATGGGAACTTCCGGCCTGGAACGCTATCCACCGTTTGATTTTACGGTGGATGGATGTCAGAGTGGTACAAAATAATTTCGCCGGAGCAGTCTATCGAAAGCATGTTTACTCGGGATCATTTTGTACACATACTTCCTCCGCAATATTGTGGATCATTTTGTACACACGCGGGATATATCCTCTCTCCCCCACTGCAAATGCCATTCTCTGAACTCATGGACCTGCTCCTCCTCCCCTTTACTTGCAAAAACCCTAGAACTGACCCCTTCTCCTCTTTGCTAAACCCCAAAATTACCGATTCTTCATGGCACAAAAACCCTAGAATAACGCCTTCTTATTCTTCCTTTCTGACCGTGAAGAATGACTCTTCATTTCGTTTCTTTAATGAGAAGCCTTATCAGAGGCCTGAGCTCCATATATTTTGTCCAATAAGAGCCCCATCGGCTCTGAGAAATCGTCGCTTCGTTTCTGAATTCTCAAAAAATGGTGACCTTTCCGGTAATTTTACTTTCAGAGGAATTAATAATGAAAGTTAGCTGCTGAATAATGAAAGTAGCAGCTAATTTAATTCTTATTTTCCTGCCTCTGGTTTGTTCTTATTCATAGTGGGTGGATTTGTTCGAAATGAATGGAAAAAGAAAGAAGTTTGATTTTGCTTTACTCTTGCCTTTGATTTTGGAAACATTTTTCTTCTGGGAGAGAATGCCAAAGATTCTTTGTAATATGAAACCTCTTTCTTGGAATTTTTTTTTTTTTTTCATGAACTGTAACAGTAAAATGGTTTCTTGAAATTAAAACGAATAATCAATGTCAATGCCTTATCACTGTAATCAAAATAGTGTATTAAGTGGTAAACCCAAAAATTGGAGGCTAGGTCACCATAAGCATTACTGGAAACTATCTTTAAATTTTGAATTATGTGAGGATAATTAGCTTAAATACGTTTATATTACTCCATTGTTATCATGATGGGACTAATTAGTCATACTGTCATCGAATGCAAAGGACGATCTCATCCAAGAGAAAATTGGGTTTGCTCCAACTTCTAAAATATTTGACTGGTTTTTGGTCAGTCGGACCAGCCGGTCTTAGTAATGAAGTGCTAAATAAGGTTGGACAACTATTATGTGTAACATATTTTGTATTTTTAAACTAATTTTATATGTTTTTCATCTTTTTGAAATGTGCTCCAAATAGTTCATCTAGTAGTAACTGGACAAGACCTCTAACCGGTTCGGTGGCTTGTCCGATTCTTAAAATACTGTATGAGACTTACATTTATATTTCATATATTTAAAATGTGTTTAGTTAATTGGCTCTAGAACAAGTAATGCTTAAATGCGAAACTGGGTTTGATAAATATGGTTTACAAATTTGTTTTGGACTGGAAATGTAGGAAAAATCACATTAAAGTGGTGATTAATTGCCCAGATCAGCATTACATACTGATTTGATAAAATTTGGTGATGGAATTAGTTGGTTACTGATTATTGTGATAGTTGTGTTATTGAATATAGAAACACAAAAATACTTAACAAAATCCCTTGCTTTGTACTTATTAGAAGTCAGCAAGAAGCCTACCAACTATTTGCTATATAAAACTCATTGTTAACTAAAATAGTATATACAAATGTCATGCATATTTATTCTCTGTATTGAGAGACGCGCTCAGCTTTTTTTTCACTTCTTATAATGGAAAATGCAGATTTTTTTTGTGAATGAGATATAAGCTTATTTTTTTATCAATAAAGAGAAATCAGCCTACTTTTTTGTTATCCATAACTTGTTCATACACTATCTGGATTAAGTCAAGAGTCGACATTTTCCTGGTTCTAAACTATCCTATTTCCATAACTTTTATGTTAGCTTTTCAACCAAAATCTTTTTAGCCAAAGGGGGAATTCCATGAGTGTACATGAGGAATGATAATAAATAGATGAGATGTACAGTTAGTGTTTCTTTTCATTCCTACTTGTTGGTAGGCTAACTGGATTCCATGAAGGAAACTCTTCAAATTCTCAATCTCCCTAGCACAATGAATGGCCGTGGCCTTGATGATCAGTAATTTTGAATTCGTGACATTTATGTTATGAAGGTTCTAGGAGTTCTGTTGCCGATAATCTACAGACTTTAGCTTTGAAGGTGAGACTTTGTTTGCGATGATTCGTTGTTTTTCATCATGTGTGTGTGTGTGTATAATTGCATTGTTTCCTCACAAATTGGATCTAGAATGCTTTTCTTTTCCTGAAGAATTGGACTTGGGGTTTCTCCTGATATTCTTTGCAGAACAAGGCAGTGGAAGTCAATTATGAACTGAAAGGAACTTCCATATTTCTTGTCGGTAACTATAATCCTCTCATATACTTCCTGCAATCTGAAAACATCATGTGAAAGATCCCACATTTTCTCTAAAGCCCTTCTACTTACAGGAATGAACGGCTCTGTGAAAACCAACTTGGCAAAACTCTTAGCTGAAGTATTAAGATATTACCATTTTGACAGGTAGATCAGCATAGAGTGCCTATGTTTAGGTTGTTCTTCCCCAATGTTTCCTTATCACTAGACTTCTCATTTAGTGCTTTGTTCTTTATATTTTACTGGTTCCAAGCAGTGACAATTTGGTCGAGCAGGCTGCGGGGGGTGAAGCTGCTGCTAAATCTTTTAGAGAGGAAGATGAAGAAGGATTCCGTAACTCTGAGGTGATTCTCCTTAGTATTTCTTTATTATCTGTTTTTCATGGGGTTTAATTCATATATTGTACTCGATTGTATTTCAGATTTGTGTTTGTGCTTATGTGTGTGTGTGTGAGAGGGAGACTTGATAGGCACTATTCATGAGAGAGAAGTCATGAGTCAACATGCCAAATCTGATTTATGCACTCCTCTCTCTCTCTCTCTTTCTCTCTGATTTCTTATAGAGACAATTTCCTGGCAGACAGAAGTCCTAAAGCAGTTATCAGCGATGGGTCGCTTGGTGGTTTCTGCAGGAGATGGTGCAGTTCAAAGCTCTACCAATCTGTAAGTGTATTATCCATCCTAAGCATAAAAGGAGCTTTGTCCTTTCTCCCTGTTTAAAATGTTTGTAACGAGTTCATGCCTATTATTTGTTCTGTCAAATGTCAAAGGGCATTTCTGAGGTACGGGATTTCGATCTGGATTGACGTTCCACTTACAACATTGGCCAAGGAAATCGTAGAAACAGGGAATAGATGCCCTCTAACATGGGGCATATCAGCTTCAGACTCCTATTCTGAGGTCAATATTGAGCTCCCAAATTTCAGAATCTATTTCAAGCTCATTAGCTCACTCTGGTCTGAACATGTTCTGATAAGGGGATAGTATTACATAAGCCAGTGGTGTATGGTATATCATATACCATGGTGCAATCCAACATTTGTTCCTCGTAAGGTAGAGATCAACATTTGTTTGATGAATCTCAACCATTCATCCATTACTGGGAACAGATGGTGGATGCCTCTGAGGTGTAGTAAGTACCATATGACATACAACCAGCATACGGTTTATTTGACGGATATTATGGCAATTTATCTTGTGATTTCTTGCTATTCAACCCTATTTAAATTAGGGTATACAGATCAAGGGGAGATAAGCTGCTTTATCTCCCATAGTTGAATTCCCCTTTTGCTATGAATTGTACTGCATATTAGTGACTCCTGGAATTACTAATTTTTTTTCTTCACTAGAGAACAATGAAATGAGGAGAATCAGTTAGCAGTGCTTTTGAAACTTGGGAAAAACATAAAAACACAGGCATCTTAATTTCATGACTTTTACTAGGGCACCTTTTGTTGTTAAAAAATGGAAAAGCTGGCTATTATTATGGACTATCCCTGCATTATATACTCGAGCCTTAATTTGATAAACAGTTTCTGACGACTTTGATCCTTGCCCACAGGTGCTGACAAAGCTAACACAAATTTATGAGGAAATGAAGGGTGGTTATGAAACTGCAGATGCAAAAGTGTCAACCCTGAGTACGTTTTTTCCTCAATATACCGATAGTTCATCTGCTCATCTTCAGGTGCACACACGCACACGAAATATCATGGCTCTTACAAAGGGTCCTCCTCTCTCCTTACCAGAGATAGCCTCTCAATTAGGCTACGATGAAGTCGATGCAATCACACCTGAAGACGTTGCAATTGAGGTAACTACACCAAAAGCCACTCTCCATAATTTGAAAATGGGTGTGGTTCCTATGAGGTTGCAACCTTAAACAATCCAATTAAGGTGCACCACTAAATCTTATCATAACACGTAAATTTGGTGAAAAAATTTCTAGGGTTAACTTAAAATCCATTTTCATATATAATTATAAAATAACTCTAAAAATGGATAAAATCAAGTAGATCTATAAACATATTAAAATCTGAAAAATGGACGGTCTAAATAATGTGTTATAAAATACACTATTTTTGAGACTCAAATCTTTCTTCTTCTGTTTTTCATATTCTTACATCTCGATGTCGAGATGATCAATTAGAGGGTTTTTCAACATCAAAACAACTTTGTCCGATGGATTTTTGAGGTGCATCTTTGATTCTACATTTTAAGGTTGCGACATTATATAAACTTTTTCCTCTAAAAATAACCAACAACATTTATAATATATTATCATATGCCACTCAATTGTGATATGGACTTTTTCATGTTTGTATGGAACTTTATGTAACAATTCACAGGTTCTCAAGGAGATTGAAGGACTGATGAGAGTGAAGAAAATGATGGAAGATGCAGCAAAACCATTCTGACAAAAACCAAGTCCCTCCCACTATACATTTAGAAGCCTTCCATTTCAGCATAGCTTTTCCAGAGCCAAGTTTTCATCTCCTCCACAGGTTTCTAATGCAGTTCGTACCTGGCTCTCTGGGAACCCCATCTCCACCAACTTTTGAACCTGTTCAATAACCCACATCATTCAAGAGCCAAATAGAATGTTTCATGATTATATGTTAATGTATTCTGCCTTGTCATTGCCTAATAATGGGTACTCATTAATGTAAGCTGCTTGTGAAAAAATTCGGTCAAGATTGGATAGAGGGAAAAAATTGAGAGAGCGAGAGAGAGCTTCATGTTACTATAAACAACTAGAAAAGTAAAAACATTAAGGTACTTATGGGCATCTCACACAAAGAATTGAAAAATATTAAAGCAAATACCCCATTGTAATGCCCAAGTAGCCTTGGTACAAACTAAAGAAACAGTTAGAGAGCCGCTGAAAAAAGTTTGCCCAATCGATTTGCTTAGCAAGGGAATTGATAATTATCTACACCTCATGGAAAGGCTCATAAAATACGATAGAGAGTTTATCCTTAAGTTGTCAAGAATGAAATATTATTTCGATTTCTGATGCAATTATGATTCATTGACATGAGTATCTAGAGGACATCCAATGGAACTTTTTGACCCATCAGATAACCAATTGTCTCTTTGCCAACAAATGGCAACATGCAGGCAAAGCAAGTCAAGTGAGCTTTCTCACCACACTTCCATCACCTTAGCAAGTTTTATGAGCCTGAAAATAACTCGCATGAAAAGGAATGCCCGCTACACGCTTTCATGAGCATTCCGCAACTCCAAACGATATGGGAAAAGTGACAATTTCATTATCCAGATTGTCAAGGAATTGCTCACAAAAAATGTGATGTGATTGTGTTTTCCAAAAGCGACCTTCACGAGTCTTCACAAATTGGCCTAGATGTAGATGGGCATGTTACTAATAGATTTTTGTTTTTTTATTGTTATCTAAGTATGACAATTTGAATTGTATTCTACCATAAAGTGAGCTGTAAATGATATCATTTGTAAATGAAGCACTTATGCTAAATGCATTTGAAAATGATCAATTGTGTTCATATAACTTTAATTGGAAGAAAACATGTTCTTAAGAAAAAAACATGTCAACTTACAACCAATAGCAGATAACCTTCTCTAGGATGGTCCAATAAAATGTACCAACCGAAAAACATACCTGCACCATCATCACGTGATACGTACGGATGTAGATTTCTTATAGAATGCACCTGAAATCTTTCATACCCTAACCTACTAACACCGGAACCCACAAGAGTGCAAGGTAACTTCACTGCCCAATACACAGGTACGACAAGCACAGGATAACGGCTAAAGCTCTTATTCTTGGGTAAGTTGGTTATCTAGATTGCTAAAGATTACACTTATCTATCACATCTTCTACAGCACCAATTTAGACCAAGTACAATCAAATGAAGAGTAGAAATAACTGGAAATTACCAGAAACATTAACACAAATTCTCTAAGAGTGCTCCCCCCCCCCCCCCAAAAAAAAAAAAACCAATCTCTAAGAGACATTCAACACCCATCATTAGCCCATATAATTGGTACTGCATGTCTAACAACATATGTACACATTTCAATTCTCCAGATATGGTAATGCTTATGCTATTAAAATGTGACATATAACTGCAATATCAAACATGGCAGCAACATTGAACAGCAGAAAAAAAAAAAACATTATTCGGAAGAGAAAGAAGGTACAAGTGCCTTTGGTAAAAGACAAAATCAAGAATACATAAAGGCATGCGCAGAGCACAGAGCTCTTGGCAGTATACAAGTCAAATTTTAGCAAGTATCAGAACAATTAGGAGAGTACCTTTTCCTCAATTCCAAGGGATGATCTCTTTGCAAATGTTTCCGTCCAATAGCGAGCAGTACTAACAAATGTTGGGTAGTCTTGATTGTACTGAGATTATCACATAAAAAAAAGCTCTGGAGTGGAGCACAAAGAATAAAAAAGAAACAAATAAACAGTCCAGTCAAGGACCAAGGTTGGAAAGTCTGACCTGCTGTGCTACCACAGCATCTTGAGGATCATCAGGTGCTGGTGATGAAAGTAATGCTTGTAAGGAAAGCAAGGCTGTTTTCAATGTCAAGGCCGGGCTCCATTGATCTTTCAAAATGTCCAAGCAGATAGCTCCATTTTGGCTACTAATATTTGGATGCCTTCATTTAAGATTCATGATAAATAAGCATAAATTTAATATAAGCTCCAATACCATCCTAGCAAAATCCCTTGCTTCGCATTATGTCGACAAGAAGTTACAAATTCAGATGCCAAAAGAATCAAAGACTTGAAGAAGAAAAGTGCCACAACATGCAACATCAGAGCGAGAGAGAGAGAGAGAGAGAGAGAGAGAGAGAGAGAGAGAGAGAGAGAGAGAGAGAGAGAGAGAGAGAGAGAGAGAGAGAGAGAGTAGTAGAGTAGTACGTAGACGTAGTACGTAGTAGTACGTACGTACGTACGTAAGTACGTACGTAGTACGTAGTACGTAGTACGTACGT